TCTTTCTTCCCATTCATTCCTTACAACAGTGTTTTTAACAATAGGTGTTCAAAATATATGTATTTGACTTATTGGTTATTAGCTGGCTGGTTAGAGGAACCCATGAATAATCAAGCAATCAGTATAAGAACTGTCATGAAATGTTCAAAGTTTTTACACATGTAAAATATTATTACTAAGGGTAATAATATTAGTATTACATATGCCCATAGTTTATATTTTATGGGAATAGTATTCATTCAGCAAATGTGTTGAATAGTAAATACCATGTGTATTTGTATGTTACTAAGAAATTTGAATTTTATCCTAAAATCAAAGGAAAGTCGTCAAAGAGTTTTAAGTAAGGGAGTTTTCCAAAAGATTTGAAATGAAATAAAATATAAAGGGTTTTATAAAACATTAAGAGAAGAATAAACATTTCTATAGAGAAATGGACTAAAGACATGAAAGAGCAATTAAATAAAGGAAAGTGAAATTGTGAAAGTAGTGTCTAGCTCTTTGGAGTTCCCATGATCTATACAGTCCATGGAATTCTCTCAGCCAGAATACTGGAGTGGGTAGCCATTCCCATCTTCAGGGGATCTTCCCAACCCATGGATCAAACCTGGGTCTCCCACATTGCAGGCAGATTCTCTACCAACTGAGGCACAAGGGAAGCCCAAGAATACTGGAGTGGGTAGCCTATCCCTTCTCCAGTGGATCTTCCCGACCCAGGAATCGAACTGGGGTCTCCTGCATTGCAGGTGGATTCTTCACCAACTGAGCTATCAGAGAAGCCCAATTTATATAGGAAGAAACATGCAAAAAATCAAATGAGTTCCATTTCTAATAAACTGAAATGAGCTCCTACCAGATGATTGTTTCCACTGATAACAAATGAAAATCTGGAGGGAAAAAACAACCTACCCGAAGGATATGAAAGTTACAATAAAGACAGACATGTTTTGGAGAAAAGTCAAACTTGGAAAAATGGACCAGAATGGAATGAGTTCTTTGATTGCAACGTGGCATGAAGCAGTTAAAGCTCCAAAAATAAATATGTAAAAATAATCTGTCACCTTGCTAAACTTAAGACAGACACAAGGACAGAATCAAAGTTACTTAAAGCTGGGGACTTCCCTGGCAGTTCAGTGGTTAAGACTCCATTCTTCCAGTGCAGGGGGCGTGGGTTCAGTGTCTGGTTGAGGAAATAAAATCCTGCAAGCAGTGTGGCCAAAAAGAAAAAGAAAAGAGTATTCTGGAGGCCTGAAAGAGGGGCAGGTATTCCCATGCAAGGTTACAAGCCCAATACCGGCTGTGTGGGCTTTTTTTTGTTTCTTTGTTTATTAGTCTTCTTTTTATTACCCCTGTGTACCAACATGCTAACAATAACTGTGATGAAACACCCCTCTGTGCTGGGCTGGACCACACTTACTATCTGTGCCTCTTGGTATATCTATCCTCATCTTAATTTCTCTTTAGTATTCCCAAACTACTTAAAATCTTAGACAAATTCTCTTTTGCTTTTCAGTGGAAAATAAATCTAGTTTCCCTAGGCTTATGTATTGATGTCATTAAATATTATAAATAATTAAAATATCAGATATTCAGTAACTTGTGTGGGCTTTTTATCTCTCGATAAAGAAGTGTTCCCAGCCTGAACTTGCCTTCTGTTGCTGAGTAGAGTATACACAAGAGTATAGTCTTGTGTGTAGACTATACACACAAGACTGCCATTGCCAGCAAAATAATAGATGAACTCGAGAGAATCTGTGTTTTGCTGTTGTTGGATGGGCTGGGCCATAGATGAGGTCTCGTGGGGTTTACTTTTTATAAAAATGGTCTTTTGTCTCTAGTAGCTGGTTTGTCTTCGAGTCTGTTTTGTCTGCTTTTAGTGGAACCATTAGCGCTGTCTTTTGGTGACTGCGTGCATGGTGTATCTGTCCTCACCCTTTTCCTCTCTGGTCCACGAGAATCACACCCATCTGTCTGCCCAATATCCTGAGGGCAGCTTCTCAGCATGTTCTGTTCTTGTCCTACTGTCAGAGGCGGCCCCAGCCACAGCTCTTTTTCGGGTGTGAGCACTAGGGGGTGACAGTCTAGTTCTCCAGGTAGCCTTCCTTGAATTCAGTCTCTTAAGCATTGATGTGAATGTGATATTTTCCTCACCTTTCCCCATGAGAGGCTGGGTGAAGTCACAGTCACAGCACCACAGAGAAAGCCTGCCCCTGCCTTCTCTAATTTTCTTTTATACCCTCAGGTAGGTACAAGGCTAAGGGTTTCCAAACACGTTTTGAGGTCCGCCTCTTTACTCTCCTTACCTTTGCGGTTTAGCACCTCAGTCAGGAATGTGGAAGTTAACGATACTTAGTGTCTTGTCCTCTGCCTTTTGGGAATTTGGGCCAAACTGATCCGTACCATCGTTTCCTTGCAGTTATTGTGGGAGGGCTTTGAGGTGGAACCCAGAGCCAGGAAAGGGTGATAGCCATCTAGCATAAGGCCTACAAAAGCTACAGCTTCAGAATTGATGGAGTTCAGTCCTTGTTAACCAGGAGCATTTTGTAGACCAACTCAAGTGGGGACACTATAGGAGAGAGTCGGCCCCAGGGTCTCTCTTCCTTGCCACTTCTCTCTGCCCCATCCATCACCTAGAACCTTCCTCTTCAGAAGATTCAGCGGAAACCAGTAATCAGAGATCTCAATAATTTACTGAGGAATCAACAGACACTTATCTGAGGCATCCGCTTGACATCTGAAAGGGCTGACTTTTCAAGTAACAAGAAGCTAGTGTGAGCTGAGACTATATTATTCTGTAGGAAGGACCGGGTGTCTCAGGGAAAAAGAGGCAACTGAATAGAGAAGTTCTAAAAGGAGCAAAGTATGGAAGAGAGGAGAGAGCAAGAGGAAGAAGGGAAATTTGTGAATGGTTAAGCGTTTATGAGAGGTGCCCTCTGAGACCATAAGCTGGCTGACTCTGGATGCCGTTTAAGGTAATGATTAAGGTAATAACAGGGCATGACCACCGGTCCACCACTCCGTAGGACTCTGAGACATGTACATGAATTCTGTAAAAGAGCATTAGTTCGGATCCAGAATACTTTCAGTTTTTGGAGTCAAGCAGTATGGGATGTGGGATGAGTAAGGAGTACCCTGGCTCTGTGATGTTCTGTGAGTCATCAGCTGCACTGTGGAGATCAGGGGAGAAGGACCATCCTCTGGCAGATGGTGAGTCACCAGATTTTTAGGACCAGATCCTCCACTTGCCACTTCCCTGAATTTTTTTCCTGTGAAAATGAAGGAAACACTATAGAGGCCCACAAGCATTCTATCTTAGATCCCTTCTGGAGAACAACTGATCAAATGGAAATAGTCAGGCTCTGTTGTCTGATCTATTTACATTCATGTCAGACATGAAATGGTTCCCACACCGGAATCTTGAAGAAATAATTTAATTTAGACCGCTGGTGATAAAGTGTTGGAAGAACTGAACTTGTAGAATGGGAGCAGTGAGGCAACCCTAATATTAGCCACAGCTGAAATACCTCTCTGCCAGACGGTTGGAGGGAAAACAAGAGGCTCTGGTGTGAGCTCAGGAACAAGGACGAGATGGTGGGAGCTGGGCCTGGAGTAGGACTTCTGGTGAGGGAGGCGAGGAAGCAGAAGCTGAAACCAAGAGAGACAGTGAGGGAGGGAGACCCCCAGTTCTCCTGTTCTCTTATCCATCACTCAGCTGTCAGGCGCTTGCAATAGACTGATACCAGCCAGAAAAACCAGAAAGCTTAGAGAATGTACTTTGCAGACAATATGGCAGTTATACAGAGCAAAGTAGGAAAAAAGACAGGCGTGGATCTGAGCGCAGAAAGACCAATGAGGCCATGGTCCTCTCAAATGTGGAGCAACATATTCACATATTAAAACTGAGTGAGCAAGTTTGAGTAGGGCCAATCATTTTGACCTTTATTTTGTGAACTGCAAATTTTTTCATAAGGCAGAGTTATAGAGTCAACCATTTATGCATAGCCCATGTTGAACATTTTAAATTAATCTGTAGCATTTCATCCATTGGCAGGAAGAGAAGGGCTTCCTTGGTGCCTCAGAAGGTAAAGAATCTGCCTGCAATACTGGAGATCTGGGTTCGATTGCTGAGTTGGGACAATCCCCTGGAAGAGGGCATGGCAACCCACTCCAGTATTCTTGCCTGGAGAATTCCATGGACAGAGGAGCCTAGCAGGCTACAGTCCATGGGATCACAAGAGAAGAGAAACATAAAGCTGGTGTCCTGGACCTTAGCTGAGCTGATGTGAGATGTTTTTAAAAAATACACATCATACACTCTCTAACACCGTTGTCTTGGGTCTTCTTGATTATCGCCATGCTGAGTGGTGTGAGGTGTGGGTCTGAGTTGCATTTCCCTGAGGAGTAGTGCTGTTAATCATCTTTTCAAGTCCCTGTTGGCCATTTTAATGCCATGTAGATGGACCTTGAACATATTATGCTAAGTGAGATCATCAAAAAAAGACAAGTACTGGACTATATCTATTATATGTGGACTCTAAAAAAGCCAAACATGTAAAACCCAGAGTAAAATGGTAGTTACCAGGAGATGGGAGGTGGAGGGCTGAAGTCAAAGTTGTTTAAGGGCACCAACCTGCAACAGGTAGTAAATAAACCATAGCAATCTAATGTACAGTATAATGAATACAGATGACAGTTTTGCTGAGAGACTAGAACTTAATTATCCAAGCAGTAAAAAGAAAGGATAAGTATGTCCTGTGATAGAGGTGCTTGACATCACTACAACAGAATCATACTATAATATAGAAATTTATCAAATTAATATTATGTCTTAAATGTACATAGTTTTATGTCAAAGATAGTCAATAAAAATACACCATAAGTACTAGAGTGAGTGACAATATATTGGTACAAGAAGAAATGATATGGAAAAAAGTAATTTGTTACAGAACTATAACTCCATTAACAGTGATGTGGATGCCATGTCCATTTATTTTGTGTTAGAATTAGTCCATAAGGATGAATACACAGAACATGGTGGTGGTCTGCACACCCTTTGCTCATTTCCAGCTATGACCTTGAGCAAATGACAACCTCCTGGTTTCAGTTTCTTCAAATATAAACGAGGACAATAAAATCTACCATATAAGATGTTTGTGAGTCGTATGAGAAAAGTATATGGGCAAGATTCATAAGTTATAAGGGACTCTATAAATATATAGTAATAGTATGTGACTGTGTGAGTAGCTGTTAGGTACCAACTCATGTCTTGACTTTTTTTAAATTTAAGTATAGTTGGTTTCCAGTATTACATTTTTTTCAAGTGTACAACATAGAGATTCCATGTTTTATAGATTATACTACATTTAAAGGTATTATAAAATATTTTTATTCCCGTGCTGTACAATATATACTGCTTATTTATTTTATACGTAGTTCATACCTCTTAACTCCCCAACTCCTACTTCCCCCTTTCCTGCCTTCTCTTTCCCCACTGGCAACCTTTTTAGAGATTATCTTCAAAAAGAAACAAAGGAACACAACAAAGGGAGAAGGAAATGAGAATGATCCTGAATTCACACTCACTGTGTGACTAGGTTAGGCTACATAACTCCTCTCCACCTTCCTTGAACATCCAGTCCCATTTCCGAAGAGAGCTGGTGTGGCTTACATGATCCTCCGTCGGCAACAGAAAAAGTTCACTTTGCAATTTCCGACAATCTTCTCGTCCTCATTGCACATCTTCCTGCATTTGCCCCGACCGAGCCAGCACGGCTCACAGGGCGACATATCACCTGCACCAAGAAAGAGCTGCTGACTTGTCCTTCCTAAGGACTCTCTAGGAATGGGGGAAGGCTCCAAGGCCATAGAAGAAGGGAAGGTTTGTGTTTATGACGATAAAGAGTGTTTTCAAGAAATAGCCTGGACTTCTCTCCAAAGACCTCCACTTTTTTCAGAATAGAGTTGGGGAGTTTAATGTTTAAGCAAGAGGAAGATATAATTCCTGTCTCTATGTGTTTAACAACTGCATGGGTCAAAAGTATACGTGCAGTTGGACAGTGTCATGTATGTTACAGAACTATAAAAAATACATACCTGATGCTGCTGCAAAAGTTACAAAATGAAAATGGGAGAGAGATCTTGTGGTTTTGAAAGATCTTTTAGGGTAGTTTCAAGACTCAGGCTCAGTTTTGCTTGGGCCAGGTAATGGCCATGTGTCCTCACTAAACTGCTTAGTCTCACCTTCTGTAAAAATGGTGATTATGATAGTATCTGCCTCAAAGGGATGTTTTGAAGATCAAATGACATAATGCGCATAAAGTTGTTAAGGGCTTGCTTGGTACATAGTAAGCACTCAGTGCTAGAGGCAGCCTTTGTCGCTCTCCCACTCTGAAATTCTGTCTGAAAACTTTTAAATGTTGTTTAGAATTACCCAGGAATATTTCTTTCAGTTCTGTTTATAATATGCTTTTTTCCTATACTGGGTGAGTTTACAAAAAAGATCACTGGGCTATCCATTATGAACAGGTCATCTGCAGTGGTGAGGGATTTTCACTGAACCTCCCTCACTCCCTTCTTAGACCACTGGTATACATTTGGGACACAGTTTACTGGATTTAGGAGCAGAGGCTGTTAAGAGTTGGCTAAATGTGCTGTGAGAGCAGTGTTAATTGGCTGGTACAAGCTTGGTCCTGTGACTTTGATTTAGTTAGTACCATGATCTCATGAGAACAGCCATGAAATCCAAAGCCAAAAGGAAAAACCAGTAACAAAGAGGTTTCTCTGTGAAGTGGAAAAATCCAGATATGACGCTTGGAACAAGAGGAAGAAAAGGTGGAGTTAGTCTGGATATCAGTTGGTCTGGGATGTCAGGCAGTTCTATTTCCACGGCTTCCTTGTCTCTGGAGGTTCGAGAGGCCAGAGTTGCTAAAAGTAAAACAGGGATTTATCTTACCTGCTGAGAGTGGCTGGGAATACTGGAGTCCTGCCTGGCACCCTAAATTCAAAACAAAGCACATTTTGAATATGAAAACCAATGCAGGGAAACAACACTGGGAAAGCTTTTACACAACACTGGTAAGAGTTTTCCCAGCTCACAGAGCTTGACTCTTTATTCTATTTTTGAAGGCTGGAACTGCTGGTATCCAATAAGTTTCTTTTTTTTTTTAAGGAATCATAGTTTGCTTTTAGAAAACGCTACTGCCAGTTCAAGAATTGCCATGAGAAGTGCAGTGGGGAGCTGGCTGTCTCTCCTCTTCAGGGTGGTACATAGAAGAATCATCAGGCTTTATGATCTGCCTCGTCAAAATCCCATCTACTCTCATTTACCTGATGGAAATTGAGCCAACATGAAGAAAAAGGCCAAGACAAAATAAAACACCTTCCTGCTCAGCGCCATCTCTGCAGGAAGACTCTTCAGAAGGGAGATTTGGGATTCCTTTGAGAAGACGAGAGGCTCCCTTATATTTGAAAGTAATGCGATGTGCTCTTGGTCAGTGAAGTGAATCCATAAAGAAAGCACACTTACATGCTCCATTTCCCAGGATCAAGGACTGGGGTGATGCCCTTGGCCTCCACAGGGCCTTGTGTTGGGGGAATGCCTACTGGGCTGGTAGAAGGGATGCCAGGCTAGGAGCTGAGAGACCGGGGCAGCTCAGTCCTGGTGCAGGAAGTAGGAGGAAACCCCACCTCACTCTCCCAGCTCAGCAAGCTCATCTGTCAAGCAAAGACCAACTCACAGTTGTTGAGAGTGAGCACAGTTACTCTCCTACCTCTTCCAGCTGGTCTGAGGATCTGGTGTGATGATGACAAGAATGTGTTGAACACGTGGAATGCTACAGGAGCCCTGGTGCCCTGTGAGAGCTCGGTAAGCGTGGAGTATCACTTCCCTGGCCTTCAGGTGTGCTGTCCCTGACTTTCCCAAGGAGAAAGAGAGGGGTAGCAGTCATTTTGCCAAGTTATTTGAGTCCTTGAGCCTGTAGAAGCCCCACTGAGAAGACCAAAGTCATAATTACTGCATCTCTTTAATTCATTAAGAACACGGGTATTGGGATTTCCTTGGTGGTCCAGTGGTTAGCACTCCTTGCTTCCACTGCAGGGAACCTGGATTCGATCCCTGGTTGGGGAACTAAGATACCACAAGCCTCGAGGTTTGGACCAAAAAATAAATAAGGCTACGAAAATGGATGAAATAACCTAGGGAACTTATAGACAAAAAACAAAAGCAAACACACACACACACACAGAAAAACACCATGGGTATTAAAAGTTATACCCATATCAGGCTTCCCTGGTGGCTCAGTGGTATAGAATTTGCCTGCCAATGCAGGAGGCATGGGTTCAATCCCTGGTCTAGGAAGGTCCCACATGCCCCAGAGCAACTCAGCGCATTAGCCACAACTACTGAGTTTATGCTCTAAAGTCCGTGCTCCACAGCAAGAGAAGCCGCGGCACTGAGGAGCCCCACACCGCAACTCGAGAGCAGCCCCCATTTGCCACAACTAGAGAAAGCCCGCATGGAGCAATGAAGACCCAGTGCAACCAAAAAACAAGTAGATAAATCAAAAAAATCAATGAGATGACAAGATAATTGATAAGATAAATGAAACTGTGTATCACTGAAAATATCCAGAAGTTTGTCTTTTCTTGGGGGCTTCAGTCTGCTTAGGTGACGCTGGAAGGAAATAGGAGAAAACACATTGTTTTGGTAAATCATTTCTAACTGGATATGCGTAAAGAAATGTCTAACAAAAAAGTGCTGACAGAGGCTGAAGTTAGATAGGATATTCACCAACTGCTTTTTATTTTATTTTTTTCCCCAACTGCTTTTTAAAATACAGTTTTTATTTGGAAAAATTCTAGATGTCCTGGAAAGTTGCAAAGACAGTATAGAGTGTGACCACCTACCCACTACCCACAGCGCCTCCAGTGTTAACGTCCATGGTAATAGTAACTCACATTAATAACCGTGGTTCACTTGTCAAAACAGACAGAGTCACAGTAGGACATGACTACATGGTAAACGCCGGGATTCCAGTTTCTCTGATGTTTTCTCCTGACAGGGACTGGGTTTGGGATTTGGAGAAGGAGAGCACAGAGTGGTGTGTCCTTCCCAACCCATTCATCACATCAGGGTTACGTAATGCGAATGTGACAGACCCCTCCTGAGACTGAGCTTGACCACTTGATAGGCCCTCCTGCCAGCCTCCCCCAGTCTCACATGATTGCTCTCCCCCTTCCACAGTCTGTTCTTTGGAAGCAACTCACTTTCCTTTAAACTGAAATCATTGAGTTCCAGCTCCTGGATCGGGAGTATCCACAAGTACCGACTGGAATTCTTCGGGGCAGAAACGTGTCTGTTTTCGCGAATGTATTTATATGTTCATTCACTTATTGATATCAGCAGAACTTGAGGAAGTGAACTGGTGAGCTTATCCAGATGACACATGAAAACCACCTTTCCATAACATAGCTTTTGAGGCATTTGTGGTTGGCTTGTTGTTGATTTAATTAATATTTATGGGAGTATAGTTGCTCTACAATATTGTGTTAATTTCTGCTGTGCAGCAAAGTGAATCAGTCATATGTATACATATATCCTCTCCTTGGGGGAGGTTTATGGTTGTTTCAACAAATACTTCTAAGGTATCTTGACATTAGCAATCATCATAGCAGTGGGGCGATGCGGATAGATGCATAGCCCCCTAATTCCACATTTTCCTAAAGGGAGGCTTCGCACTCCCTCTCTCCCAAGGGGGAGGGTTAAAGTGAACAGTTAAGGTCTTCCTTTCCACCCAAGTGTCCGTGGGCTACCTTGAGAGGAGCACAGGCTGCCACGCCTCACCGATCAAGAGGTTATCGGGCTGGAGAAATTTATAAATGTGTGTGCTTGCTGCTCCTTCCTCGTGGTCACTGTGCTGATCTCTCGAGACCTGCAAGTCATGAGGACGTCCCTCTTTCTCTTTGCTGTCTTCTTCTTTCTGGCCCCAGGTAAAACGAGCACTTTGGCAGGGAAGGTTATCGGAGGTGGAGGCCCGGCGAGAGGATCTGTCTCAGTGGGCTCCCGGGCACAGTCAGCTCTAGAATGCTGTGAGCCCCCTCAGCCCAGGAGCCCTGCAGAGGGGACCAGAGGCTATTTTCCTCTAATGCCTCTGCTGCAAATCCTTTGCATTTGTTGTTGTCTAGGATGGGCTGTCACAGGTTTGAAGACATCACGATATGCCAGAAAAGATACCTTTTGGTCCTCCCCAGTCTTACACTCACTAACAAAAACTTGGAAAAAAAATTAAAAGCAAGGTTAGCCAATGATGGATCCCTTAAAAAATAGTTGTGATAGAGATTAAGACCGGGAGGGAAGAGAGACAGAGAAAGGAAGAAATGGATGAGAAAAGGGGGTGGAGCTTGGAGACACTGTGTATCACGCTGGTCATGGTGTTAGCACTTAAAACAGGAAAGCTTAAACTGCTGTTCCTTAATCACAGGCTGTGGTGCTGGATGCTGAGACGAAGCTGTCATGTAATGAAATGCATTTCTCTCTCCAGTGCCAGAGCCTTTAAAGGAGACTCCGTCTTACCTCTAATTTAGTGATATTTATAGCAACCTTCTTTGGTTTGGAAGTGAAGTCGCTCAGTCGTGTCCGACTTTTTGCGACCCCGTGGACTGTAGCCCACCAGGCTCCTCTGTCCATGGGATTCTCCAGGCAAGAATACTGGAGTGGGCTGCCATTTCCTTCTCCAGAGGATCTTCCTGACCCAGGGATCGAACCCGGGTCTCCCGCATTGCAGGCAGACACTTTAACCTCTGAGCCACCAGGGAAGCCCAAATACATGTTACATGTTACATGCATGTTACATAATTCAATACATGAATACATGTTTACATGTATTTCACAGCTGTAGAGGTTAAGCTTTAACTAGGCTGAGAAGCTCCTCAAAGTCCTGCAGAGAAGCATGAGGGAAGCCAGGACGTGAAACCGGATCTGTCTCGCCCCAGTGAGGGGAAAGGTCCTTTCCTAATCAGAACCCCAGGACCTCCAAGGGCTCCATTTGGATCCCACCCAAAATTATAGTCCAAGGCTAGGCTCGTCCCACACCCCAAAGAGCTGATCGAAGGGCTTTCTAGAACCGATAGTGAGTCCGAGTTTGTGCCAAATACCAGTGATGCTCCTGACATGATGCTCAGAAGTCCCACAGCAGCTGTGCATGCCTCTCGTCTGCTCTGGAGTCACCCTGTGTGAGCAGATTCTGGGACAAGTGCACATGTGGGGATCTAGCACCTAAACTGCTCCTTCCACTGGCTTTGGTGGACATGTTGGAAACTGACCAAGGCACCCTTTCTAGATCAGTCATACTCAGTGAACACAAGATGATATGCTGCAAAGTTATCTGACCTAACTAAATGAAACTTACCTATCAATGAGCCATGCGTGCACACATAGGCAGGCACGGGGTTATGTCACCATCTAGATGGTGTCTGTGATGATCCTGAAGAAGCCCTGTAGGCACGAGGGTACGTGCTCATTCCAGAGGCGTTCTCTTTCTGGGCCATCACTGTGAACTGGACCTAATACAAGGACTCTTGTCAGAGTGAGGTCCAGCGGCCCTGGCCTGAGACAGCCCTCTACTGTTAGGATGGCACAAGGAGTGTAGTTTCCTGGGGTGGGAGCCAGCGTTCACTGAGCTTTGAAATACTGGGGTATTTAAACTTATAAACTTACATGCTGATGCTCATATGATTAGCACACATGCTAACAATAATCCATCTGGTTTTAATTTTATAGGTATGTGAATTAGGTGCCTTTATAAGTTGACATGAATTGCAATTTGTATACATCTGACACTTTCGTTACATATACCCAAATTGTGCAACTCTAAAATGTTGATACTGCTAAGATGTGTTGCCAGGGGAATTCCCTGGCAGGCCAGTGGTTAAGACTCTGTGCTTCCATTGCAGGGTCACAGGTTTGATCCCTGGTTGGGGAACTAAGATCTCGCATGGGATGGCATGGCCAAAAAAATGAAAAGTAAGCAAAACAAAATGTTAAAAAAAAAGAAAAGATGCACTGCCTGTCTTTAAGTTGAAACTGGCTAGTCCAGTGATTGCTCTTCATCAAGTACTAAGGCCGGAACTGGCCTCCAGTGCAGAGCAGCAGAAGGAAAGTCTGGGAGAACCACTCCCAACACAGTCCATCTTCCTGGTCTTGAACATTTTTGATGGAATGTGGAGAGAAAATGAGACTGAACCTCTTAAAGCAATCTCTCAACTTCTATCCACTACAGTAAATGTTTTGCTTTCTGGGACATCTCCGCAGCCTCAGGTCTTGCTCCACCCTCACCAGATAGCATTTCGAGAGTGTGCTGGGGAAGCTTACCAACACAGGTGTTTATAAGAACAAGTTGA